AGGGCGTGTGGCCTTAGAGGGTGTGTGAGCTGTTTCTGGGCTCTGAGAAGGCTGGGTAGGGAGTCCCCAGCCCTGCTCCGCACCCGGCGCTGCCCACCCACCTGCCCTGCCGGCCGAGGGACGTAGCACTCAGGCCAGCTCTGTGACCTGGAGGAGAGGCACTGGAACCACGGCCCATGGGCTTCTGGGGGTAAACCACGGCAGGAGTGTCACCTCCCCATCTCAAGGCCGGCGAGCCTCTGTGGTCGCAGGAAAACACGCTGACCATGCGTTTCCACCCCGGGCACTAGCGTGTGTCCCGCGCAATCCCTTCCCAGGGCTCCCCACCCTTAAACTGCGAGGGTGGAGCTCTAGGGGTCCTGGGGGCGGGGGGAGGCATCAGGATCGCCTGGGAGAGTGTGTGAGCGGGCTTCCCGGTGCCCCGCCCACGGACTCTCATCCAACCCATCCGCGGTGGCAGCCCAGGTGGTATGTTTTTGAAAAGCCCTGGATGATCCTTGTGTAACCCAGAGTTGAGCAACACTGACGGATGATTCAAAGGCCTTTTGTGGCATCACAACCCGGGAAACTGCGGTAATATTTTCCAAGATGAAATCCACAGGGCGGTGGTGCCGGATGCGCTCAGACCCCCGGGGGTGGCCTCATGGTGTTGTCCTCCAGAGCCTGGAAAACACAAGCCGGCTTCCAAGCTGCTGTGGAGGGAGGGCGCCTTCTTCCCCGTCCCTGGAGTTACCACTCGCCCGACACCTCCGATCTCACTGCAGAGGCTGAACAACAGAGTTCCTGCTTCTTCCCTCCTCCCTCTCCATTTAAAAATCACTTAACACACATACAGATTAAATGACACATTGTCTCCCGTTCCCTTCCCAGTAATCCAGGGTGGGGAGCCCCGGGGGCGGACAGGTGGAGGGAGGCTGGCCTCGAGCTGATGGGCGGAGAGGCCAGGTGCAGGACACTCGGGGAGCCCTTCTGTTTGGACTGGGTGACCCACAAAAACAGCAACTTGTACGTGGTTATCCGAGTGCTGTTCCTTTATATAAATATTTGACAGTTTCTACGATAAGCGGGTAAATCACACATGCAACTATATCCTCACGGTTCCCGTGTTCACCTTTGCGGTTCCGTGTTGCCCTAAGAGCTCAACCGACAATAAGCTCCTCAGAAAGACCCGACAGCCATTTAAACACTCGACTGTTCTGCACAACCTCAGAGCTTACTGCCTGAGGCTTCGGATTACTAGCTGCTTGAATTCAAAGACATGTTATACATTACTTTATTTTTTTTTTTAAAGATTTATTTGAGAAAGAGAGAGCACGAGTGGGGGGGTCAGAGGAAAGGGGAGAAGCAGACTCTGCACTGAGGATGGAGCCCGACAAGGGGCTCCATCCCGGAACTCCAGGATCACAACCTGAGTCAAAGGCAATTATTCTTAACGGCGAACCACCCAGGCGCCCCTGTTATCCATTATTTTAAAAAGAATACTGTTGTTACAAGTCACACTAGTTCATGAAGGCAGAACGTGTTACAGCCTCCCAGGAGACATGGCACAGAACTCCCCTTCCTGACAAAGGCAGTAAGATGTAGGATGACACAGGCTTTCGAATTAAGCCATCTTCAGTTTGAATCCCCAGACGCCACTTGTTAGCTATGTGACCAAGGGCAAGTTCCTGAACCTCTCTGAGCCCCCGTTTTCTCAAATATAAAAGAAGATACTATATTCCTCAGTTTTGATGCATTAGTGAGATAACATGTATAGTTCACCTTCCTCGTCATCCCCATCCCACACCACCGGGCAGAGCCGTGACATTTTGTGTTAAAGCACAGGTGCTCCAAACCTGTGCCCTGCAAGGTGTACGATGAAAGTGGAAGCAAATAATTTCATTTTTATTTTTTTATTTGAGAGAACAAGCGAGAGCGCACAAGCAGGGGGAGCAGCAGAGGGAGAGGGAGAAGCAGGCTTCCCGCTGAGCAGGGAGCCTGACTTGGGACTCGATCCCAGGACCCTGGGTCATGACCTGAGCCAAAGGCAGAGGCTTAACCGACTGAGCCACCCAGACGCCCTAATTTCATTTTTAATAAGTGAATCTAAGCTGGACTACAAATTGAGCGTGGCAACTGAGGGCTGGAAAATCTGACTGTAAGTTCCTCGTGAGCTGGGAAAAATCAAGGAGGCAACTGAAAACCAGCAGACACGAAACAGGTGCCCAAAAGTGCTTGCTGATCCCCTTTTCAGACTCGGCCTTTTACCTTGAAACACGATTTCCCTGTGTGCCACAGCTGTTTCCTTCATTCGGTATCTGCACTTCTCAAGCCCCCGGTGACAGTGAAGCTCATTTTGCTTTCCACACTATTAATTCTGAGAAAGTTCGAGCCAGCAAAACTTCCTGGAGTCTCAAAAGAAGACCCACTGTCCACTGACCAGGCTCACTCACGGCCAGCCAGGGTAGGAGAGCAGATGCTCCTGTCTGCACAAAACAAGGTAATTAGAATTTTGGTATAAAACATACATATATCATCTCTTTTTAAAGCCTTCTGTTTTACAGAATGCTCATGCAGGCCCAACTCTCACCAACAGTTTGTTCTGAGACCCTTGAGCACACCCAAGGTTCTGCTTGGCCGGGGACAAGTGTTTGGGGAGCCCTTCTGAGCTGCAATAACTCAGCACCAGGCGATGTGCCCCCAGAGTCCCGATGTGCCCCCAGAGTCCCGTGGGCTCCTCTTCGGGACACCTCGGTGGAAACATCAGATCTCCCCAATGTTAATGCTGCTTCCTTTTGGGAAGTGATTCAGCTATGCAACTCAACAGTTACTTTGTTCTTATTCCGAGTCAAGTGCCACAGATGCAGGGAGGGGTCAGGACCCTGCGTGGAGAATGTGGGTCTCGCACCTGGAGCTGATCCGACATGGGCTCCACTGGCCAGGTCAGCACAAAACGCAGCCCACGCATGAGCAGAGAGAGGGATTAGGCAAAGCTTCTGGGGAAGTGGTATTTCAGGCCCTGTGCTGGGTGGGACGGGACCCAGGAGGCATTCCAGGGGTGGGGACCTCCCCAGCCAAGGCTCAGAGAACAATGAGCTTCCCTGGAATGATAGTACACGTCAGTTGGGGGAGGCGGGACAGGTGCTGAGGGTGGGCTGATGTCCCATCACCAGAGGTCCGTGTATAATTAGACTACTGAGTTCGGGCTGAGAAGTGACGCTGCAACTGAAACCAAGCAGAACCGATGTGAGGCTGACGGAGTTCCCGGTGAGGCTTTGCTCCGGTTATGCTCCAGCTAGAGGGGAGACGCACAAAGGAAAGTGGCCTCGGGCCAAGGCCGCGGGGCGAGGTCAGGGGCAAAGCAGTGACAACTAAGCATGTGCAGGTGGGATTTATTAGCACCTGCACACCCAAAGGTCACGCTTCTTCATGCATGGCAGGTCTGTTAACATGTTCAATATTTAGCACGATAATGAGGGAAAAAGCCAGCAAGAGGTCAGCGCTGGGGTCCATGGTGGTGCAGACTGGTTGGGTCCGGTCCCTGCCGGCTGCGTCCTCCCCCGGCCCAGAGTCCTAGCCCTTTGCTCTTCCTCAGGGGGACTGGATCTCGCTGTCAGGGTTGAGGGACCTGAGTCCAGTCCCTGCTCTGTCTCAGCGTCATTTCTGAGTATTTTGGGAGGGCACCCCTGGTTTCAGTGCCTGCGAGATTGGAACGGGAGGCCCAGTGGCAGACGGCGGTAAAAGAGGGAAGGTAATGGCAGCACGAGGCGGTGCCCCTGAGGACGAGGGAAGGAAAGCTTGCAGAAACATGGTTAACAAAGGCCTGACTGCGTTCAGACTGAAGATGCCTTCAGGGTCTGAGCGGGGGAGACCGGGGGCGGCAGGAGGAAGAGCAGGTGTTGGGGCGGAGGGAAGAGAAGCTGACAACCTCTGTTGGGATTTCAACACTCTTGGACTTTTGCCATGTTTTTTTAAGCTTTATTTATTTAAGAGAGAGAGTGAGCAGGGGTGGGGAGACGGAGACGGAGAGGGAGAAGCAGGCACCCGGCCGCTGAGCGGGGAGCCCGACATGGGGCTTGCTCTCGACCCCAGGAGCACGACCTGAGCCGAAACCGGGAGTCAGACGCTCAGCTGAGGGAGCCACCCAGGCGCCCCCAACGATTACTCTTTGAAGTAGCACAAACATTTCCGCAGCGTGAGGTGGAGCAGGCAGTGGAAGGAAAAGCGCCCCGTGTCTGCGGCGTCACGTCGCGCCTGCCGCGAGCAGCACCGAGGAGCGAGGACAGTGAACACGGACGCAGCCCTTGAGGACGCGGCGGGGGCTTCTCAAAGGCGCGCAGGTGCGGGGGGGGGGGGGGCAGCGGGCCAGACCCGGGCAGCCCGAGTCGCCCACGCAAACACTCGAGCAGCTAGCTGTGCCAAAGGGATTCGCTCGTGGTTCCCAGCACCTCCCTCGACGGAGGAGCCGTGTGCGCGGCCCGGCAGGCCCACCTTCCCACGGGATCACAGGGACCGCGTCAGAGAGGGACAAATACCGACGGCGCCACCGGACAGGATGCAGCGAGAACATGGCGCCCCTTTGTGAAACTCCTGCCACGGCTGCGTGACCGGGGTGGAACCACAAAGATGCTGCTCACAAACCACTGAGGGCGTTCTACAAAGTAACTGGGCCAGAACCTTCCAGAGCGTCAGAAGTCAGGAGACGGGAACTGCTCCGACCTCAAGGGAACTCGAGCGGAGGAGGAACAGACAGCTCACTCCTGGCCCATCTGTCACGAAGAATGACCTGGGGCAGCTGGAGAGAGGGGCCTGGCAGGGGCTGGGGGCCCACACGACGGCCATGCCTCATGGCTGGTTTCCTGAGTGTGACGGCTGGCTATCGGGGGATCCTGGACGCAGGAGACGTACATCGCGGCATTTGGGGGTGAGGGGGCCTTGGGCTGGCAACGCATGCTCAAATGGCTTAGGGGAAAAGTTCTTTTTACTGTGATCGCAACTCTTCCGAAGTACAGTCGAGACGGTTTCAAAATAAACATTTTATTTAAAAAAAGTTATCGGTTATTTTAGTTGAGCAGTTAAACATCTTTCTTGTTCTTAAAAAGCAGGGAGGGTGTTCCCGCACCCAGTTGGCCAGACGGGAAGAGTGTGGCTCCGACCGGCCGCGTCACTCTGGGAATAACATGCGCACACAGGACCCCATCCGCAGCAGGTGGCAAGCAGGCAGCTCAGAGCGTGCGGGCTTCTCGGCCAGCTGGGCGCACTGGCCTGCTCCAGGGCCTGCTGCGGCCGGGGTCACCGGCTGAGGGACCGCTGCAGAGCTTCATACATCACCTGGTCCTGAGAACAGGGGACAAGACAGACACAGAGCCGATGAGTGTGACGAGGGCTGACCCGCGTCCCCCAAATGCTCGCACTGACATCCCACCCCCAGGACCGCACAGTGACTGGAGGTCAGGTCTTCAGGGAGGCAAGGAAGTTGTAATGAAGCCCCCAGGACACAGGACCGCGTGTTTGCGGGAAGACGGATGAAGAACAGACAGGCCGGGGGGCCGGGTGAGGACACACAGCCTCGGGAGAAACCAGCCTGGCCCACCCCGTGATGAGGGATGGCCAGCCTCCCGTCCTTCCACATGGAGCTCCACCTGCTCTGGTGAGTGCCCAGCCTGCCGTGCGGCATGTGAGCCCGACTCCCAGCTGCCCCACATCAATCCCCGTCTTTCTGTCACCGGCGTGGGGACCAGCATGACGGCCTGTTTATAAAAGTTACGAATTAGGGTCAGTTCATGTACTCCTATCACAATGTTTTAATTATTGAGGCTTTTGGGAAAACAGATCGTGTTTTTAGCCACCCCCACCCCCAGCTTGGTGTTTCTGCAGTTTTTCTGCTGCTACAGTTTGCTTGGTTTTCCACAGGAACTTTTGGTGGCCCCTGTTTGGTCCCCAGCACAAAATAAGCAGAAATCAAAAGACCACAGAGTAGAGCCATTTAAATGATTCCTAACAGCAACCGACGGCCTTAGCACTGAGGTGTCTGCCGACCAGCCTGGGGACGCACGCCAGAGAACAGCCACCATCCCCGACGTCTGGCGGCCACGGAGACATTCACAGAAATGCAGCTTCGCTCCAAGAAGCGGCCACAGTGGGCCCCTCCGCACATGTGAGGTCTGCCCAGTGTTTACAGGGGACTTTACGACCACTAGCTTTTACTCTGAGGACAATCCTGAGTCAGACAGAAGCAGAGCAGATGTTCTTTCTGCGACAAGTCAGAACCCTGACCAGAGGGCAGGGCAGATTTTCCGTTCATGAGGGAAACCCATTTCCTGGACTGTACTTAATGTTCACCTCCGGTTTGAAAGATGGATTTGAAAATTAAAAAAAAAAAAAAAACAACTATGTACTTGTTTCAGTGATTTTCCAAGTACCTGTCAAACAGTTTCAAAGGTGAACATAAAGTAGGAATTAGTGAAATGCTGAATTAACTCTGAAATAGGATAAAAGGGTCCCTCTGTACATCAGTATCACTGCAGAATAATCTACTGTAAAGACATTTTAGGCATGCTTAGTTTATAACCAGGTTAGAGCAATTCCTTTTTTAGAGTAAAATAACTTTTTAATTATAAAACAAGATTTATTGCAAAAATATTAGAAAATACAGATCAGCAGGAAAAAATCATTTCCAGAGATAACTATTATTACTATTTTGGTCTTCTGGAACTTTTAAATTACTATTTTTTCAATGTTTATTTTTTTAAATTTTTAAAATTTTTAATTTATTTTTAAGTAATCTCTACACCTAACATGGGGCTCGAACTCACAGCCCCGAGATCAAGAGTCGCACACCCCACCGACTGAGCCAGCCACACGCCCCTCGCTATTTAATGTTTCTGAACAGGTAGGACCTTCATATGGTGCAAAGTTCAAAGAGGATAAATCGCCCTGCACCCCGGCAGCCGGTCTCTCCCCACAAGCAGCTGTCACTAGTTTCGTAAGTAATTGCTTCATGAGGGCCAGTTAGGGAGCCAAACGAGGAACGTGGAGCTTCACCTTGATGTGATGGCTTATTTTTAAAAAGATCAAATCAGCTTGATTTGATCTGCTTTACTGCTTTACTGAATATTTATTCAAAATTCATACTATGCCTATTTCCAAAAGAGAAGTTGTAGCTTCTTACTCGCTAAGTTTTTCAGAAATCAAATATTTAAAGATTACGATCACCAAAAACATTAAGAGGAATGTGCTAGTACTAAGTCTCACGAGGACATCCGTGCAGCCTTCCACAACCTGTGGCAGGTGCAGATATGTTTTTAATAAAATCAGTCACACGGCCTTTGCCATGTAGTTGGTCCCATTCAAGCAAAAGCTACTGTGTAAGCCTTTTCCTAACACCAACGGGATCGAGTGACCAGGTTAACACGTGTTCTACGTGTGGGAGCCCTGTCTCTGTCTGTGAGTCCAGCACAGGGCCTGGCACGCGTGCAGCAGCTACTCAATGCATGAGGAGTTGGATGGTAGGTAACCCATTAAAACACAGCTGGGGGCAGGGGGCTCTGACTAGAGGGGCTGTTCTCCTGTGAGTGTCCGTGGGGTGGAAACAATCCGGGAAAAGAACCATCTACTCCTGAGTGTGGAGAAGAGAATGGAAGGGGTGTGGGCAGCGGGTGTGATGAGCACAGAAGCAGGAGGGTTGCTCTGGGTGGTTTAATAGAGGAAGTAGAGAAAGAAATCTGACTGTCTGAGCGAGGTTTCCTTCCTGACGGTGGGAGAGAGCCACAGGAAGCAGAGTGAAAAGCCAGAGACGTGAGACAGTACGTATCTGGGAGAAGAATCTCAAGGTCTCAATGCAGACAGCAGTGAAGCCGGCCTCGGGTCTCCAGCGCGCAGGGAACACCTCACGGGCAATTATCCCACGCGGCCTGTGAAGCCAGGCACGGCCGGGAGGCCGGGAAAGGTGGCGCGGCCGGGACACACGTCTCCGGATTCTGAGAAGCTGCTGGTGGACGGCCCAGGCTTTTGTGTCGGGCATCTGTCCTCGCAGATCGCCAGCCTGTCAGGTCCTCCTGGGACCACACAGGACGCGGCCACTCACTAGCAATTAGGACGGGCAGGGGCCTCCAGGTGGAGCCTAAGGGCCCGGCCCTGCCCGAGGCAGAGCCAGTGAGGAAGGACAGACGGAGAGGAGTGTCCGCTCCCTGTCGACACCTTCACGCTCAACCAGTTACCAAGGGCTTACTGGGCCAGGTGACACTTCTCTGCATTTGGCCTCTAAACTAAGAGCATGCTGAGTATTTGAGAACTAGGAGGACCAGCTCTGCAGATCTCGGGACAGAATGTCTGTCTTCTTAGACGTCTCATCATGAATCCCGTGTTCACTCACTTCAGAGCAATCGCCATTTCTGTAAGTAGGTCTGAGAGGCTAAAATGTGCTAAGTGTTCCTTGCACGCCAAACAAAATCTAGTGGTTCCCTTTCAGCATGAAGACTCCAAACTCCAACCCCGCCACTACCACGTCAGTTAACTTGAGTCACCAGCATCTTATTTGCAGATTTTCATTCTAGGCCTTGAAGTGTGACCTTTGTTTTTTTTTCAAGATTTTATTTATTTATTTGACAGAGAGAGACACAGCGAGAGAGGGAACACAAGCAGGGGGAGTGGGAGAGGGAGAAGCAGGCTTCCCGCTGAGCAGGGAGCCCAATGCAGGGCTCGATCCCAGGGCCCTGGGATCATGACCTGAGCCGAAGGCAGATGCTTAACGACTAAGCCACCCAGGTGCCCTGAAGCGTGACCTTTATAAAACTCCACAGCCCCTCACAGCCCAGCCTGGCCAGGGCATCTAATTTCCTAACTGGCCGCACTGGTTCTGGCATGGGATCCTAACCTGGGCTGGGCCGACCCCAGGCTCCCGTGAGACTCTCTCCCACCAGAGCTGGCAGGGACCTCTCTAGCTGGGAGGTGTCTGGGCCTGCAGGCACCCACCTTCTCCCAGGAAACGAAGGAATGAGGTTCTGCAGCCTAGAGCCAACTGTGCTTTTAAGATCCTTGTTACATGGACCAACAAACTCTGTTGTTGAAACTCAAGTTACATCATTTTATTTTATTTTTCTATTTGAGAGAGAGAGATCTCATGAGCTCACGGGCACGAGCAGGGGGAGTGGGAGAGGGAGAAGCAGGCTCCCCACCGAGCAGGGAGCCCTATGCGGGGGCTCGATCCCAGGACCCTGAGATCATGACCTGAGCTGAAGGCAGACGCTTAACGAGCCACCCTGGAGTCCCCAGGAGCTCTTGTTCTTCCCTGCTCACCTGAGTTGGAGCTGGGTTCTGTCATTTACAACTAAAAGAGCCCTCATTTTTTTTATTTTTTTATTTTTTTTAAAGATTTTATTTATTTATTTGAGAGACAGAGAGAATGAGAGAGAAAGCACATGAGACGGGGGGAGGGTCAGAGGGAGAAGCAGACTCCCTGGTGAGCAGGGAGCCCGATGCGGGACTCGATCCCGGGACTCCAGGATCATGACCTAAGCCGAAGGCAGTCGCTTAACCAACTGAGCCACTCAGGCGCCCAAGAGCCCTCATTTTAAAAGCAGAATGAGGTGGCTTATCAATGAGCTGCTCAGATTCATATCCAGAAAAGCACTGTACCTTTCGACCCTGCCTGTGCCTCTGATTTCAACCAGAAGGAAGAGGTTCTTTACCACAGCTCTCAACTGGGAAGGACCAGGAAAACAGAAAGAAGCAGGACCCGAGACCCCCAATAAACATAATATACATTGGTGTCAAATTCACCTGCAAAAGTGTGCAAAGGAGATAAAGCGAAGACTTAATCCTTAATTGTCGTTAAGGACAATTAAGGACAGGCTGCTCAGATGAAAATATGGCTAAATTCAGATATCAGGTCAAGTGATTTTTGGAACTTTGCACAACACATTTGTAGCCTCTGTAATAAAGTCACTCAGGCAGCAAACGTGGGAACTTTTCAAAATTACAGCAAAGTTTCTAGAAAATCTTGGAGGTAAAGAAAGTAAGAGAGTGATAAATGAACTACCCAAGGTCAATAAATAAAAACCAATGGAACTTCTGTATATCAGCAGTAATTAGAAAACAAGATGTAAAAAAATCCACAAATAACAAAAAAGTATACATTACTTGGGAATAAATTTGATGAAAGATGGTAACATATTTACAATGAAAACTCACATTACCGAGTAAATCAGGTGGCTCTAAGAAGTGAAATGAATTAAAAAGGGAATACATTTATAAGAGAAATTAAATGAATGTAAGTAAGTGGACAGAAGCACTAAGTTCATGAAGTGAAAAACTATTCGTAAGCTCTGCTCTCACAGCCGATCTAGATTCAGTCCCATTCCAAATTAGGCCTAGCAGGCTTCTCGTGTAGGAATCAATAAGCTGATTATAAACTTTATATGGAAATGAAAAGGGGCTAAAATATTTTTAAAAATTGACGGGGGGATAAAAAGGACAAATCTGGAGAACTTATACTACCTGATCCCAAGACGTGCAGATCTACAGTCGTCAAGACAGTGGCAAAAGACACCGTGGCCTGAAGACACACATAAAGCACAGGAATGGATCCACACATGGACGAACAACGGGTTTTCAAACAGAGGGTGTGGTGACTCCGTAGGAAAGTCTTGGCGACCAACCGTCGGAGCGAGGAGGAGCCATATGGAAACACGGACCAAGACCCCCACCTCCCCTCCCATCAAAGTAAAACATTCATCTGAGGCGGACCACAGGCCTCCACGGCAGGACGCACAAGCCACACACGCAGGAGCCGAGTCGGCCTCCGTCTGCATTCCAGGCTCCTACTCTCCATAAGGTGCGTTAGACGACAGAAAGGTGAGCAGATTTGACCAGAATATCCTCGGCACGGGCACATCTGAATGAGCTAAGAATTTGTGCAAGTTTATAGTAAGGAGAGAAAAGCCTCGTGTTTAGGAGCAAACCGTGAGGACAGGACAGAGCTCCAAATGGCCCACGAGCATGTGAAACTGTGCTGGCCGTCTGACCATTCGGGGGTGCTCACGGAGAGCACACGGGGCACTGGTTCCCACGCCGCTGGACACCCCCATGAAAGGACCCTGACACCGGGGGACTCGGCCGCTCCCCATGGAAGGGTCTGGAGCCCCGGCCGCACGCCCTGGCTGTGTGCCCCAGAGAAGTGCAAGACCATGCTTGCTCCCTGACCCGCGGTCCCCTCTCACACACGTTTACTCAGGAAACCACACACACCCCAGCAGCACTGAGTGTCCCCCAAGAGAGGAAAGGAGAAGGAACCGTGTGCTATATTCTATATTCTCATCCTGGAAAGCCGCTCAGCTAGAAATGGACCCCACACAACAGGGACGGACCCCAGAAGCCCTCCACCGAGCTGAGCAGCCAGACTAGGGGGTGCACACCGCAGGCTTCCATGGGGATGCAGCCCACACACGGGTCAGACCTGTGGTCACGGGCAGTGCTGTCAGCGGCGGCCACTGAGGGGCCACAGGGAACTTTGGGAGGGATGGAATGTTCTAGACACTGATGGCAGTGCCGGTGATGCGTGGCGACGCGTGGCGAAGATCACAGAACTGTATGTGTGCACTCCAGAGTGGATACCTTTCTACTAAACAGTGAGGCTAGAGGAGGGGCTGCGACCCCACATCCCCGTGTCCCCTTGGGGAGGCGCTTCGTCCCTGCGTCCCAAGTCCTGACAAGCCTGGGACTCCAGCTGCAGGAGAAGAACAATTCAACTAAAACAATGTTTTTGATGATGAAATCTTCAGGAGCATCACGAGTCTCTTGTTGATCAGAATGAAGAGCACCAGTAACATTAACTATCAAACTGTTCTGGGTTTTATTCGAAGATGCTTAGCAGAACAGACCTGTTTCCTCTGGGATACAAAAATGCCCGAGAGGCGAAGGCAGACCACTCTTTCCAGCTATGGTGGAGAACTGAGTGTGGGTACAGCAGATTCTTCTCTAGCCGAACCAGAACCACCACCAGCCAAAACTAATTAACTGGTTCCTGCGGTCACCAGTGGTAAGGTGGGAGGGCGCCTGGCTGGCTCAGTCGGTACAACGTGCGACTCTTGATCTCGGGGCTGTGAGTTCGAGCCCCACACTGGGAGTAGAGATTAATTAAAAATAAAATCTTTAAAAAAAAAGGTGGTATGGTGGTCACCTCACCTAGAAGGTTCAGAGCAAACCTTGAGACACCGAACACGGCAGCATGCCTCACGTAACTCCCTGGACTCTGACTCAGGGGTTTTCAATCCGTAATTATCGTGAGAAATACAAGGCCTAGGGTAATAAATGGCTAATGATTTCAAGGAAGTTTTAGCCCAGCAGGAAGCAGGTTCTCGTGGCTAAGGCACATTACACTTCCAGGAGCCCTGAAACAAAAGACTGCCAAGTCAATGAGCTTTGTCACGGCGGTGCCTAAGCCAACTGTTTCTGCAGGCTGGGTGCATCCCCGCAGCTCCGTCTTGCAGTGGTCATCCTCATCACCACACACGGGTTACCTCCGTACCGTAAGAAGCAAACACACGAGACCTGGCATATTGTATATAAAGAAAAGCGAGCCCTGTCTTTAGCCCTTCTCTGACCTTACGGTGAGGACATCTGTACCTGCCTGAAACGCAGGGGCGAGTCCCACGGGGAAGGCTGGGTCCAGGCAGATAAGACTCGTTGGGAAGGGTGGAGCAGGTCAAGGGACACGCGGACCAAACGGGTAAGAATCCCCAGACGGTGGAAAGACCCACATGGGTCATCTTCTCTCTGGCTTCAGTCTTTCAAGAAACACACAAAACTACCACCTCTCAAGAACACTCCCACAAAGACAAGTATTTTCCTGGTTTCCATGAGTTCACAAGCTACTGGTCTCCATTCCAGTCTCTTCTCTACATGTTAAGAGCATTTCTTACCTTTTTTGATATAGAAGATTTCACTTTCCTGAAAGCTTCTTCAAAGTGCTTCTGACTGACCTTGAGTTCACCTGTGGAACAAATCACAAACACATCTGAATGGAGGGCACTAACCGTGACTAAAGGCCTAGTTTCTCCTGAGACACTTCCCAGCAGTCAAGGGAACACGGAGGAGACAGCCATCACAATGGGTCTCTTCTGAATGACAGTCAAGCCCGGTACACTCATCAGATGTTTTTGGACATTTTTTCATTTTCATTTAATTTACACACACCTGACCATATTTAATTTTAAACAAATGCTTAAGTTTTATATCAGCATCCATTTTAGTGTAAATTTTTTCCCTCCAGCAATTGAAACAGTTTACTTTGGGACAAATCATATAAAAAAGTACTTTGTTCATCTTTAATTAGAGAGAGACTATTATCCTTTAAAAAAAAAGTCCCTGTTTTCATTACCCGCCCCCCCCCTTATTGAGATATCACTGACACATAACATATGTAAGTTTAAGGTGTAGGACTATTGTGATGATCTCAGACATGTGTTGTAAAGTGATCACTACAAACGTTAGCTGGCACATCCATCCCTCACATGATTACTTGTGTGTGTGTGTGTGTGTGGTAATAACTTCTAAGATCTACTCTTTTTTTTTTTTAAAGATTTTATTTATTTATTTGAGAGAGAGAGTGAGAGAGAGCACACGAGAGGGGGGAGGGTCAGAGGGAGAAGCAGACTCCCCGCTGAGCAGGGAGCCCGATGCGGGACTCGATCCGGGACTCCAGGATCATGACCTGAGCTGAAGGCAGTTGCCTAACGAACTGAGCCACCCAGGCGCCCCTAAGATCTACTCTCTTACCATCTTTCCAGTATATCATCCATATTGTTAATTATAGTCATCATGCAACACATCTGATCCCCAGAATGTGTTCATCTTATAGCAGGAAGTCTTACCCTCTGACCAACATCTCCCCATTTCCTGACCCTCTGCTTATCAGGTTTTAATGCAGGATACCCCAAAGAGACTATCACTCCTAAACAGACACCATTTGAAAGCCCCTCTTTGCACCGTTTACACCTTAACGGCAATGAAGAAGAGCCAGAATTTTTCCTTTTTAAGATAACCCAAATAATTTAACTGGGAGTGGAAAGTAATATTCCATAGTTATTTAAGAGTGCATACACAGTAGCAGATGTTACGGAGTTATATCATAATATATGTTAGATACAGAGATAATATCACAACACTGGATCAGAAGGGGCTCTCCTTTATAAGGTTGTGCCATTATGTAAGTAAATCAAATAACTACATTTTGAACAAGACTTGGTTTAAAATGCTACTATGACAGCTTACACAACAACAATTAAAACTGAACTATCGGGGCACTTGGGTGGCTCAGTCAGTTAAGCGTCTGCCTTCGGCTCAGGTCATGATCCCAGAGTCCTGGGATCAAGTCCCACTTTGGGCTCCCTGCTCAGCAGGGAGTCTGCTTCTCCCTCTGACCCTCCCTCCTCTTGGACTCTCTCTCTCTCTCTCAAATAAATAAATAAAATCTTAAAAAAAAAACCTGATCTATACAGATATTAGGATACCATATTTACCTAAAAATAAAATAAAATGTAGTTGAACACGGTGAGTGGAAGGTGAAGAGCATACATATTTCGGTGAGGAAGGTATCAACGCTAATTCCCTACAGTACAGGTAACTAGAAACGTAAACTGCAGCAGAGCACAGATGTCAGAATTTGCTCCATGATTATAAACTAACATCCAAACAGCCAATACGTGTAGAAAGGCCCACAAATTTTCAGTGACAAATCCCAAAAAACCGTGAGACTCTGCTCCCGGGCAGCACACTTACACGATGTTTCTTACAAGATATTCTAAGTTTGTGAATTATATCACCTACTTCCAAGAGGATTTTTTAATTTTGTTTTAAAAAAACTTTTTAAATTTTTATTTATTTTATTATTTTCTTTTTTTTTTAAGATTTTATTTATTTATTTGACAGAGAGCGAGCGAGAGAGGGAACAGAAGCAGCGGGAGTAGGAGAGGGAGAAGCAGGCTTCTCGCTGAGCAGGGAGCCCGATGTGGGGCTCGATCCCAGGACCCTGAGATCATGACCTGAGCCGAAGGCAGACGCTCAACGAATGAGCCACCCAGGCGCCCCTATTATTTTAATTCTTAACTTTAATGAAGAATAAGAAAACTCTCCATGGGTAAACCCCCTTTTCTTTCTCATATAATCTGAATACCATAGCAATTTGTATTTTATTTTTTTCCCCTGATTCTAAGTCCAGTGCTCTTTTATTTTTCTCTCCAAATTTTTAAATACTAATTAGTTAATATATAGTATACTGTTGGTTTCAGGAGTAGAATTTAGTGATTCATCACTTACATCCTTCAAGAGAAATCTGAAATAGCTTGTAATAAAGGCAGTTCGGATACTGAACCTAACAAACACACAGGGACTTCATCAGGAAGGCACATGTGCGGACAAATCTCAGCAGCAGAGACGCCGCCAGAACTATAAACAAGTTTGCTCTGAGATTCTTGGGAGCCAAAGACAGTGGGAATGAAAACAGACGTGTTTTGGAAATGTGCTGTGTGGACTCCGGGGGGAGGCTGAGGTTGAGAGGCCACCACACGGCTGCCACGGAAACCACGCGAGGCGGAGCCTATGGGAACGGTCTCGCCAGAGCCATGTCAGCAGTGAGGTGTCTGGAGTGATGATGACGGAGAACAAAGACACTGCAGAAAGCACCCTACCTGTCTCACCTCCGTCCTTCGGTCTTGTCATTTCCTCTCTCAGGGCGCAGACGGATGCCTCCCGAACCAAAGCAGAGAGATCGGCACCCCTGCGGGAGAAGACCTGCTCTCAGGATTCTACAACAGTGGGAAGAGTCCGACTGCGGCTTCCAGTCACAACCCACACAGCTAGGGAAGAGACTGACCGCTATGGTCAGCAGGGAAGAGCGTTTCGCTTTTACTTAAAGTATTTCTAGCTTATATTTTATTTATTTATTTATTTATTTATTTATTAAGATTTTATTTATTTGACAGACAGCGAGAGAGGGAACACAAGCAGGGGGAGTGGGAGAGGGAGAAGCAGGCCTCCCATGGAGCAGGAAGCCCGCCTGATGCGGGGCTCGATCCCAGGACCCTGGGATCACGACCTGAGCCAAAGGCAGACGCTTAACGACTGAGCCACCCAGGCGCCCCTCTAGCTTTTAGAAGAAGGATAATTATGATGGGGAAGGAAACAATGCAAGGAATCATAAACATTCCTGTGCTAACAGCTATAGATACTAAAGTTAACATATAAAAAGTCTACCTGAATTGCCCAGGCGATAGAAACTTCCACATTTATCATAAAATCTCCATCCACGAGGCCCATGTCGCCAAGAGTAAGCTTACAGAAGAGACACTAATGGCACCTACTTCAAAAGGGGGAAGCACAAAGGCGAACAAGTCTTCAGTGCCCTGACTCAAGCCCGAGCTGAGTGGACCCGTCATAAATGAATTAAAGCAGCTAACAAGCCTCCATCTAATTACTTTGTGCAATACTATGCTGACTCAGCATGGTGCCGGAGTTCAATGAGCAACACTGTTCACTGGCCTTTTGCGACCTTACGTCCTCAACAGAATTCTTGCAGCTCTTTGGGAGAGAGTTTGGATCTGGGGATAAAAACCTCATTTCTAGACATTAAACCTTATTTAATGTATAACGTTGACCATCCACATAATATGTAACATTAAATGGCCACAGAACTTAAATTATTAGCTGAATGCAATGTTTCTGTGGCTAGGTGTCAGGTTTATAAGGTTGTGCAATAATCACATACATGCTGCGTATTCATCCTTTCCTTAATATTTAAACATCTCCCACGGGTGCAGAGACCTTGAACTAACATAAACAAGCAGCTGACGACGGTGGAATTCCGTGTCTCTCAAACCCCGGTGACTGCAGCATTAAAACCCTAATTGTACGTCATTCAACATTAACCCTGACCCCTGTGTAAACCTGCGCCCTATGCCGGAGAATCAGAACATGTGGCCCCGGGGTACGTTCTGCCATTAAACTGCCTCTGTGGGTTTTGGCTCTCAAAGCTATAAACTACTCACTTAAGCCTTCCCCGCCCACCCCCCCAGTAGATAGTTCATTTAGTGGTACGAGTTTGATCCCAATGGAGGGGGGTGGGAAGCACTCTCCTTAGAGGGAGGGAGGGGCTCCGAGCGCGTCCTGTCATAGAGACAATCCCTGCCTTCACGTCTGAGCCAAGACAGCTGGACAGAGAAGAGGCTCAGGGCCCAAATGCCCATATACGAAGAAAAGAGAAAACGACACATCCTGACCACACTCCCTGGGAATGATCCGTGTGGTTTCCAGTGCTATCATCTTGATAAGAAATGAGCTTCTTCAACCAGACCTGGAAGTAACGAGGTGCCAACACTGCTCTCCGCAGGTCTGCTGTCGGGATGTAGGTTTACGCTGTGGAGTAATCGCGTTCCAAAGACCTCGAACAGGAAAAAATTGTCTCGGGGACATCTGTCTGGGAGGGCTCAGTCGGTTGAGCGTCTGACTCTTGGTTTTAACTCAGGTCATGATCTCAGGGTCGTGGGATCCAGCCCCACGTCAGGTTTGGCGCTACGTGTGGCGTCTGCTTGAGATTCTCTCTCCCTCTGCCCCTCCCCCCTGCACGCTATCTTTCTCTCGCTGAAATAAATGAATATATTTAAAAAAAGAAAAAGAAAACACTGTCGTACTTGCTTGGCTTTGGCAAACACATTATTTGGCTTTGACCTAGAGGAATATCATGAGCACCAAGCATATCGAGAATAATCAACCAATAATGCTTTCAAAGCCAGAGGGGCAGACGTCTCCCTGTAAGGGAAATGTGAGTTTCTTTTCTTCTCTATATACCCACACTGGGACAGTTGACAATTTTACTTAATGTAAAGAAAATAACAAAAACCACGAGTGCACGAACATGGTGTGGTCCCAAAGGCAGAAATGCCGGATTTCCTGCTGTCACTATGGGCTGTGCGGGTTAGCGGGTATGCTGTGAAAAATGTATTCTGAGCCTCGGAAAACGAAGCACTCACAGATGACCCTTGTCAGGGCTGAAGCACCAACACTGAAATGTCTGCTCACGTCTTCTGGAAGAAGGGATGGATAACTGGCGAAGGCAGCCACAATGGTCAGGGAAGCTGGGTGCCCAGAGTCAATACAGGAGCGGATGCGCCCAGCGCCAAAGCTCCTCAGAGCCTCGAAACAGGTAGTCCCTTCTCTCAGAAGGAAGAGCCAGGACAGAGCCGGATACCGAGCTTAACCCTCCCCAGGGGACCCCTGTCCCCTGTTCTGCCCATGAGAGGTTACGGACTTGAGACCAAGGTACTCACGAATAGCAATCACAGCGCAGGTCAGCGGCAAGGGCTTCCAAATTTACGTCTGCACCCAGGGGGGGTCTCGTGCCATTCTAAGAGAGAAAAATCAGTTTTCACTGAGACTTTAAAGATCGGTACTTTTCCACCTAACAGGTTCTTCATGAAAAGTAATGACCGCTTGACTAAATGAATATCATTGACTCCCAGACCAGTGTAGTGAGACTTCTTTAAATTTCAATTTTGGGAGAAACAAGGTTAAGAAGCAAACTCCAAAATTCAGAAAGCTACAGGCAAATGATTGATCTTGCGGAGTCTGAAGGGTCTGTGTGCGGCTGCAGCAAGAACAGAAACCACCACCTCAACCTTTCTAAAGGGGAACAAACACTTTTCCTCTGGCCAATTAAACACGGCAAGTATGTCGGCAGTGCTTAGTTTCGATGTGAGGATGGCGGGCAAGGCGGGAAGAACCGTGAACTCGACCAGGAGAGAATGCCACACGCCTTCTGGGCTCAGTGTGTTCTCAGCCCTTGTCTACAACTCGATCCAGACCTTGGTGCCACTTCCCTGTCGGCTCATATACCAACATATGCCAGAAAGGACAGACATGAGGGCACACTCAGAATTCCAGCAACACACAGGCATACGCTTACGCCACCGAGGTAATGACATTGTAGTGACTTAAAATCATGACATACATAGATGGCAGGTCTGTGAGTTTTTGCTTTATTATTCTGATTCATAACCTACATATACATTGTGTACAGTCCTTCCTTTGTAACAAATATCACTTTAGGAAACAGGTGAAGAAACACAGAAAGTAGGCGAGTCAACAGGCTATTAAACCTCAAGGTCAGGTATCACACATCAGCAGGGCGGGCACCAAGCATGCAAAGGGCTGGACCAGACCACTGGGCGCCCCAAGCAGACATGCAGCATCCTATCTCTTCCTCCCGGCTGTGCATATTTAACAACTTCATGAACTCTGCATCTGCTGTGACTTGATAAAACGCAAATGTTCATCCAACACGTATTCAAGAAACAGTTACAGTCCCACTCAATTCAGTCACCTGGGAAGTCGTCATGGGTAAACTCTGTGGGACCTCGGGCAAACAAGCTTGGTGCTCTCCTCTTTTATCCCTCCCGAGTGTGGAAAACTAGCGGCCAGACTGCATGGTCCCTGATAATGTATAAGGTTTCAATTTAGTCAGTTAACCCTGGTGCGTGGGTGGGCTGGGGGGAATGGCTGGGGGGAAGGGGCACAGCTTCTGAGGCTCTGGCGATGATCTCGCTTCTCTTATTGTGGTAACATTTGCTTAACAAAATTTATCAGTTTAACCATTTTTAAGTGTGTAGTTTAGCAGCATTGTGTACATTCACAGTGTTGTGCAACCGTCCATCTCTAGAGCTTGTTTCATCTTACCCAAACGAAACGCTGGACGCACAGTCACTGGCCCTCCTGCCCCCTCGGCTCAGCCCTGGTAACCACCGCTCCATGAATATAACCGGAAGTGTTCTCTTCCTTCACCTGGAGGTTCTGTTTATAGAAACTCATGCAGTTGTATTTAATGACGTCTCCACTTCTATGTGTACGGTCCTTCACAAAAAAGGTCTAAAAAGAAGTAACACTGGACCAGGAATTAGGAATTCTGAGTTCTAAAGTTCAAGTCTGCAAATGAAAAAAATACAGGAGGAAGGAAGGTTTCCAAATTCATTCTGTGAGGCCAGCATGATCGTGATCTGATAAAGACACCACAAAAAAAAGAGAACTACAAGCCAAAATCCCTGATGAACATGGATGCAAAAATTCTCAACAAAATATGAGCAAACTGAATCCAATAGTACATTAAAAAAGACATTCACCACAATCAAGTGGGATTTATTCCTGGGATACAAGGGTGGTTCAGTATTTGCAGATCAATCAATGTGATACGTCACATCAACAAGAGAAAGGCTAAAAACCATATGATCCTTTCAACAGAGGCAGAAAAAGCATTTGACAAAGTCCAACATCTGTTCATGGTAAAAACCCTCAACAAAGTAGGTTTAGAGGGAACATACCTCAATATAATAAACGCCACCTATGAAAAACCCACAGCTAATATCATCCTAAATGGGGAAAAACAGAGAGCTTTTCCTCTGTGGTCAGGAACAAGACAGGGATGTCCACTCTCACTACTTTTATTCGACACAGTACTGGAAGTCCAGCCCACAGCAATCAGACAACAGAAAGAGAAAAGGAATCCAAATTGGCAAGAAGCAGCAAACATCTCTATTTGCAGATCACATGACACTTTATGTAGAAACCCCCAAAAGACTCCACCAAAAAACTGCTGGAACTGATAAATAAATTCAGTAATATCACAGGATACAAAATTGAGGTACAGAAATCTGTTGCATTTCTATACTAATAATGAAGCAGCAGAAAGAAAAATTAAGAACACAATCCCATTTATAATTGCACCAAAAACAATAAAACACCTGGGCATAAACCTACTCAAAGAGCTGAAAGACCTGTACTCTGAAAACTATAAGACACTGATATAAGAAACTGAAGATGACACAAAAAAATGGAGACATTCCATGCTCATGGATTGGGAGAACAAATATTGTTAAAATGTCTATACTACCCAAAGCAATCTACAGATTTAATGCAATCCCTATCAAAATACCAACAGCACTTTTCACAGAGCTGGAACAAACAATCCTAAAATTTGTTTGGAACCACAAAGACCCCGAAGAGTGAAAGCAATCTTGGAAAAGCAGAGCTGGAGGCGTCACGATTCCGGACTTCATGTAATATTACAGAGCTGTGATCATCAAGACAGTGTGGTGCTGGCACAGAAACAGACACACGGATCGATGGAACAGAACAGAAAACCCAGAGATGAACCCACAACTCTGGTCAACTAATCCTCAACAAAGCAGAAAAGAACATCCAATGGGGAAAAGATAGTCTCTTCAGTAAATGGTGCTGGGAAAACTGGACCACTTTCTTACACCATACACAAAAATAGACTCAAAATGGATGAAAGACCTAAATGTGAGACTTGAAACCATAAAACTCCTAGAAGAGAACACACGCAGTGATGTCTCTGACATCAGCCGTAGTAACTTCTTTCTAGATATGTCTCCTGAGGCAAGGGAAACAAAAGCAAAAATAAACTACTGGAACCTCATCAAAATAAAAAGCTTCTGTGGAAAAAGGAAACAACCAACTAAAACTAAAAGGAAAACTACTAAATGGGAAAACATATTTACAAATAACATATCTGATAAAGGGTTAGTATCCAACATTATACAAAGAACTGATACAACTCAACACCCAAAAAACAAATAGCAAATTAAAAAAGGGGAAGACATGAACAGACACTTCTCCCAAGAAGCATCCAGATGGCCAACAGACACATGAAAAGATGCTCAACATCACTTGGCATCAGGGAAATCCAAATCAAAACCACGATGAGATACCACCTCACACCTGTCAGAATGGCTAAAATCAGTAACACAAGAAACAACAGGTGTTGGCGAGGATGTGGAGAAAGAGGAACTGTTGATGGGAATGCAAACTGGTGCAACCATTCCGGAAAACAGTATGGAGGTTCCCCCAAAAATTAAAAATATAAAATACTAATTCAAAGGGTTACACACACCCCGATGTTTACAGCAGCATTATCTATAGTAGCCAAGATATGGGAGCAGCCTAAGTGTCTACAGACTGAAGAATGGGTAAAGAAGATGTGGTATATACACGATGGAATATTACTCAGCCATAAAAAGAATGAAATCTTGCCATTTGCAACGACACGGATGGAGCTGGAGGGTATAATGCTGAGCAAAGTCAGTCAGTCAGAGAAAGACAAGTATCATATGATTTCACTCAGATGTGGAATTTAAGGAACAAATGAGCAAAGGGGGAAGAAAAGAAACAGCCTCTGCACTACAGATCACACTGATGGTTACTAGAGGGGAATGTATTTAGCATGATGAGCACCAGGTGATGTACGGAAGTGTTGAGTCACTACATCGTATACCCGAAACTAATATTACACCATACAGTAACTACCTGGAATTAAAATAATAATTTAAAAAACAGTATCTGATGTCCGGATAAAGATATAACTCTGCGCTACATTTGGGAGGGGGAGGGGAAGCAGTGCAGGGGGGCGTGGAACAGCACACTGGGGCTTCCCAGGCTCCCTGGAGGCAGGAAGGCCTGGTGTACACAGGCAGGTCCAGTCCCTCCAGCATCAGTAGAAGCAAGTAGGGGGGTGAGAGGTAGGCAGGTAGGACAGAAGCTGCCTCCTCAGGCGCGAGCCCTTATTAGATTTTTCAGCGTTTGTACAGAACCACCAGCATTACTTCAGTCACCACGTATGGATGCGCCCTGCACACACTCCACATGCTGCCCGTTTGAATCGAAGGCTCGATCTAAGGAATAAACTCATGGAGGACTGCGAAAGGATGACTCTCCTGGACTTCTCAACAACTGATTCGACTCTTGGGTCAAGCTGGACTCTAGTAATGGCCTGCGTACCCGCAGAGTGCACTTCTCTGACCTTCCACAAAGTTGTTTTCAACAAACTGGCTTTGAGTTAGGTCCTCAGCTTACATGAAGAGAAGCGTCAAGCTCAGTCCAGAAATGCTTCTGTGTTTATGACAGGAACACTGCTGAAAACACTGTCCGTCAAATTCAGCGTTCCTTTTATGAGGGCCGAGAGGAGAAATCTTCCTCACATCTGCATGCTGCAGGGAGCTGCCAGCTTTCTAGATACAGGACACCCTTGAAGTGAAATCTTTTGTGATAGCTCACTATACAAAGGAATGCAGTAAATGAATAATTATCTAAAAGTAATATTTCAGAAAAGTAATTCTTAGAATTTAGATTTCAGAAATTTTCTAATTCTTAGGAAATTCATTTTTTAAAAAATAAGTAACCCCTTATATACTGTCATGTGAAAGAAAGTAATACGCTGCCTTTTTTAAGAGTGTGAGGTGTGGTATACATGGGACATCTCCAAAAGTTTCAGTACCAACATTACTTTCCAGCTAGCAGAAATAAGGGCTGAGGAATCTTTGGATCATTAAAATCTAA